TTCCATTACAAAAGGGAGAAATTGGAGAAAAATGGTAATGAGGACCAAGCAAGTTCAAAACCCAGCAGAACAAATTACATTAGCTCTCAAGGCTGGAAAATAATCTTCTCTTCTCTGAGACTATCTGGGCAGAGGTCCCGCCCTCCAGATTCTGGGTGTTGGCCACACCTTCTGGATTCTGCCCTCAGCCCTGGGCTTTAGAGCCACATTCCAGACCCTGTGGGATGGCAATTCTGCTCCCTTAGCTTTATGTGGCCCCATTCTCCTAGTCTATCTTAGTGGCAGTCTACCCCATCAGCCCCTGCAAGGCCCATTCTTCTGCTCCTTGGGCATAGCCTCACTTCTCAGCTTTGAGTAGCAGCCCCATCCCCCTGGCACATCCTAATGGCAGCCACACACACTGAAACTGAGTTGGCAAGGATCCCACTCGTTAAAACCTAGGAAGCTGTAGCCCCACCCTTCAAGATCCAAGTGACCATGTCACCAGCCTTTGAAACTGAGAATGCCCTGCTTCCAACAGTTCTGCTGATCTCCAAGCTGCACCATCCTCACAGTTATGTTTGAGCCCATTTTTGCAGCCACTGTGTCAATTCATTTCATTGAGAATTGTTTTTTGGGGACCCTCTACTTTACCAAACATAATGCCCTTTTTCAGGGACTGGACCCTCCTGATAACATGCCCAAAGTACGTGAGATGAAGTCGTAACATCCTCACTTCTAAGGAACCTTCTGGCTCCAAGACAGATGTTTGTTCCTCTGGTGATCAATGGTATTTAATATTCTTAGTCAACACCATAATTCAAAGGCATTAATTCTTCTTTGGTCTTCCTTATTCATTGTCCAGCTTTCAAAGGCATATGAAGTGATTGAAAATATCATGGTACACCACAGTCTTCAAAGTGACATCCTGCTTTTTGCAAGAGGTCTTTTGCAGCAGCTTTTCCCCAATGTGATACATCAGTTGACTTCTTCACTGCTGCTTCCATGGACGTTGATTATGGATCAACCCATTAAGACAAGTATCTTCTACGAAAAAAATACATTTTTCTTCAAAGAAATCACGAGAAGAGTACGACCATTCTGTATTTTTTCTGCTGGAGAAAACCAAATAATGGACACGTTCCATCACTACCACAGAGCAGGCCCTCAGTGCTGCCTACTGCCTCCTGTACTTCTGGGCAGCTATCATCATTCTCTGTAGCAGCAGTTTCCTGTGTCATCTGTGCAACTTAAACCTCCAATCTCTACCTATCCCAGTCACTACTTCACAAGCTAAAACCCACTAGACTATAAATCTCTTTTCTGCCTTAATACCTCCCATTGTACCTGAATCTGCCTCCAGACTTTCTTCTTTCCCTCCTATGATGAAGAGGCGGCCCTCCTCCTAAAAGTGATGCTCTGGTTCCTCCCCACTCCCACCTGGCCTTTTCAGGAATATTCCTTCAACCTCTACCTCTCTGTTGGCTTATTTTCTTACCGGTTAAATATCTTCGAGTTTCTAGCATATTAAAGCAATCACAAGCTTCTAACAATTTTCTTTCCATCCTTGAACAAGCAAACTTTTTGAAGTTTACACTTGCTTTATCCAGTTTTTTCATTCACTAGTCAACCCACCACACACACTCCTCTCCCCACTCCACCCTAGCCACTAAATTGCTCTCCCCAAAAAACACAAAGCAAAGACCTGTGTATGGATTAACCTAATGGGTTTAACTATCTCCCTTGCTTTATTTCGCTCATCCTTATCTTTACAAGCAATTACTACTCCAAAATCTCTTTTTCAAGCATTCTGCTCTGATCCCAACCTCCTATCTTTCCAGACCATTTACTTAAGTGGACTCATTCCAACAGATCTTAGATTCCATGTGGCCTGGATGCCTACTTTTCCCTACGTGGCTAGGAAAGGCCTCTGAAGAGATATTTAATCCATGACATAAACAGCAAGCAGCAGCCAGCTGTGTGAAAGCACAGCACAACATTCTGGGCAGAGAGCAGTTAGTACAAAAGCCCTAAGGTGGGAACAAGCTTACACAGTTCAGGGAAAGCAAAAAAAGGACTGAGTTTCTGGAGCTTGTGAGTGAGGAAAGTGGGGAGAGGTCAAAGAAACAGACAGTAGCAAGGTTAGGTAGGGAAAAGGACTAAGAAAGTGGACTATGGAATCAAAAGAATGGCCAGGTGAAGTTGAAGACTATGACCTTGTAGCAACAGAACTTCACAGCTGTTAACTTTGAAGTTCTGTTTGGAATGCTTTTCCATGCAATTATTATGGTTGTTTAGGAGCCCTGGTGGCGCAGTGGTTAAGGCATTTGGCTGCTAACCAAAGGGTCTGTGGTTCAAACCCACCAGCTGCTCCACAAATGAGGCAGTCTGCTTCCATAAAGATTTACAGCCGTGCATGCAAATGCAATGAGGGTCGCTGTGAGTTGGAACTGACTCAATGGCAGTGAGAGACTGGTTTTTAGTTCTGTTTTTGGTTTGGTTCTTTCAACTGATTAACTTCCTAAAGACAATCTAGAGTGCCTTTGGGCAATGGCTCAAACTTTAAAACTATTAGGGCATAATTCTCAACTCAAATTAAGTACTTAATTTCCACACTTAATGTCCATCACTTAATATCCACAATATGTTCTATGAAGTAGGATGTTATGTGATTTGGTGGTTGTGTGACCACATTGTACATTAAATACAAGCAGTCTCCAGATTATGAATGAGTTCTGTTCCTAAGTCTGTAAGTCAAATTTGTGCGTTAAGTCAGAAGAGTTAGGTACAGTTCCTATCTAACGTCAATCAGTCAAATGTTTGTCTTTATAGTATATATTGTATCTTTCTATGCATAAAAAAATTAAAGAAACACTTCCAGATACATGAAACAAAATGTTTTGAGGTGCATCACAAAGTAGTACCTGTTTTGTTATTACAAACTATTTTATGTACCTGGCATGTTTAATATACTAGGCTTTACAGAGGTTGGGACCACAGAAATGTGTATAGGAGACATTGCCTGAATGGATGTAACTGGCACATGACTATCCTTCCTCTTCAGTTATCAGAACAAGAGTTAGGAAAAAAGGCACACACTTGTGACTTACTACGTTATACTGAACACTTTAATTACTGGAATCTTTCAGATAGATACGTTGATAGCTTGTTCACGTGAGATACTCAGTAAAAGTTGATTGCAAGGTCCAAGGAGAGACTTAATGAGAAAATAAACTTCATCAATGGTTGAAAGAATGAGAAACTTCGATAGCTGCTTCCAACTATTGTTCTATTCCCCTATACATGCATTTTAGAAAATTAAGGCTGGGAAATGTTAAAACAGTTATTTGATCGTGACCTTGGCTAAGAACCTAATTCTCTACCTCTTTTCACCTCCAGATGAAGTACACTTAGTCACCTGGGTGGGAATGTAATGCTCTGATGTCTAGGCACGTCACTTTGTATAGGAACAGCGAATCACTATGTGAACATGGTGACAAACCAAGCTCCTACACAATGAATTTACGGCTAAAATGAAATTCCAGTGTGAAATGTACAAATCCACTACCATTGAGTCAATTCTGACTCATAGTGACCCCCACAGGGTTTCCAAGGCTGTAAATCTTTATGGAAGCAGACTGCTCCATCTTTCTCCCATGGAGCAGCAAGTGGGACGGAACCACCACCTTTTGCTTAAAAAGCCCAATGCCTTAACCACAGCATCACCAGAGTTCCTTAATGTGAACTAGAACAGATGAATATTTTATAAAAAAGTAAGGCATGCTGTTTCATTTAATGATTCTTACTGAAAGCTATCATCTCAGTGAAAGAAATTATTATAAATGATGTGTATGTATGACAACAGATAGAAAACAAAACTGGGTGTAGCGCTGAAATGGATAACTACATTTTAAAGGTAGTCACCAAGTAAACCCAGTATGTTTTATTTCTAGTGGAAGGCAGCAACATCACATAACATGAGAAAGTCATGTTAAATTGCTTAGCAAGGGTGATAACAAATGGAATGACCAGCTTCATCATTTAACAAAACATTTCACCAGACTTTTTATTAGATTTTTAAAAAGCAGTTAGTGAATATTTTAGGTACAGTTTATAAAACAGCCATGTCTTGATTTTTATCAACATGAAAATTCTAATTTTCTAACAAGTTCCTGCACTACAGCTACACATAGGGTAGACAAGGGGATATGAATCAAATCCAGCCCCTGACACACCTTTATCATAACTGAAAGTTTGCACTTAGCCTGCACTTACGTTAACACTAATCCAACTGCCACTGAATAGAATACTTTCTTCAGTCTAATTTTCTATTTAGCCAAGGAGTCTACCTACTTGTTTACAGAAGATCTGTGTGGCTTTTCCTTTCCCGTTCCTTTTATAATTTGATGTTCACTTTACAGCCAACTTGTTTTTTTCATCAAATATGAATTGTTCTTATATTCTTTAACTGTACACTTAGTTTATGTCTGCATACTTTTCTAATAAGCTATCAAACAGGCAGAACTATGTACACACTGATATTTTCCAAAAGTTAGAATAACCTTCACAAATTTGTTAGGAGTGTTTTCTTCTTATTATTAACGTTATTTATTCAAATGATTTTTGCCTTCATTAAAAATTATTTATATCCACAAATAACAATATGATATCCATAAGTATGTCTGAATTTGGTTTATCAATAAGGACTTATGCATTTCTAACTTTTTGCTAATACAAATTGAGATATTTAGTCTTACTTACACCAAATAAATCTTTCCCAGCAGATGTAGAAACAACGTAACAGATGGTGTCATTTTTTTTAAGAGTGTTGAACTATGAAAAACAGAGGCAACCAACAGCACAAAGGTCATCCAGCTGTGACAGTTTTGAATGAGACCCTGATGCTACTTAGCGTTAAAAAAAATAAGTCCAATAAAGGAAATGGCAGACAAATCACAATTATTAAGTTAACTGTGTGTGTATATATATATATATGTATACATGATTACATTCTATTTCAGATACTTATATAACTGCAGAGATGTTATATTACGAAGAAATACAGCTGGAAGTCTGGGCTTCTGCATTGTAGGAGGTTATGAAGAATACAATGGGAACAAACCTTTTTTTATTAAATCCATTGTTGAAGGAACACCAGCATACAATGATGGAAGAATTAGGTAATCATAGTGACTATTTAACAAAAAAGACCCTAAATGTTCATATTTTTTTTATATATGCAGAAGCTTGGTCCCATCTGAAATAAGGCAAATAATTATGAAAAAATAATTCAAAAAATTGAAATTTTGGTAATTTATTCAGTGTGGAAGATTTCTCATTACTCCACAAATTACATTTATAGTTTTTTCAATTTTTTTTTTTTTTTTGTGAAAAATTAAAAACACTTGCATAGCATTCAACTTCTAAGAAATCCAAAATAATTAATTACATTTACTTAGTCCCATACTACAACTTTTTATGCTTTTAGCATCCCTTCTCATACAAACTGAATGGATTTTGGGGAAAAGGGGAAGGAGATATTAAGTGTTTTTGTGGGGAAGCTTAATTATAAGTAATGCCATTAAAATTGACAGATGTGCCAAACTTTAGCTATGGATTAAGGTATTAATCCTTTTTTTTTTTTTTTTTTTAAGATGTGGCGATATTCTTCTTGCTGTCAATGGTAGAAGTACATCAGGAATGATACATGCTTGCTTGGCAAGGATGCTGAAAGAACTTAAAGGAAGAATTACTCTTACTATTGTTTCTTGGCCTGGCACTTTTTTATAGAATGGAGTCACAGAAAATCACAAATAGGCTTATTAAGTGGAAACAATATAATTGATCTGGTCAGTTTTTATATTTAAAGAATATGTTGTAAACGTTAATTTCAGGAAAAATATGATCTCATGAAAGCCAATTACAGCTCCAAAAAAGTAACTCTCAAAAAATGAAAACTCATAGTTTTTATTCTATGTAGAGGATTTAATTCTACAAGTTTTTGGTTATATTTTTCTATTCAATAAAAAGCCCTTATACAGCTGACATAGTTTGTATGCCCCATGAATTCAATTCATACAATTAAATTGGTATATGCTGAGATCTGAAAAGGGCACATATGGGCATTTAAAAAATAATTTAAAGTCAAGATTTTAGAAGTGCATTACTGAAAAATGTTCATCAAATGAGAATAAATATTTTTCAAAAAGTATAGCTGTCTTTATTAAGTGTTACTAATTTATTTCTACTGTCACTATTTTAAAAGATCCTAGTAATTCATTCTTTCAAATACCATGTTACCTGTTACAATCACAGACAAACACCTCCTAAGGTTATCGTTAAAAATGCTCACAGAATTACAAACTTGCTTTTTCTTAGTTTTAACAAGAAATAACTAACCTAAAGCACCTGCCATTAAATTTAGTTTTCTTCACAATATAGTTTATACCTGTATAAACAACTCCACATGCTGTTCTTTGAAAAAGTTGCGAAGCAGGCCAATCCAGCTTCATCCTGGACGGCCATGAGGTGAGTGAAATTTGTCTCACAGTGACCAGTATTCATACACGTGCCTGTCAGAAACTATACCAAGGATGTTATTTCACACAGGCCACCCAAATGCCTTACAGATTTGGATATAAAAGTGTTCCAGCTAGTTTCACCAGAAACCCGAATTTAGAACACCAAAAACCTACTATGAAAAAGTTGTGGTATCAAAAATGCATGTAAGTCTTTTAAAATATAGTAAGCAAGAGTGCCACCACAGAAATGATAAAGGCCAGCTTCAATCTCGAGACTCAGAGGTGCCTCTGGATACCTTTTACAATGATACCTCTTAAGGACACTGATCTTTGATTAACTCGAGAAACCTGTCCAAGAAAAAGCCTAGACCATTATCAAGATATTGTGTATGTTCATAGGTAATTAACAATTTGTTTTTAGCTTTAAAGAGTTGAATATGGAGAGCTCTTACAACTCCCTGCTAAATGACTCATTCACATTACTTTCTTGGATATAAAGTCATTGCTGTCTTTTCATTTTTTAAAATATTACAAGACAAAGATTTTTAACTTAACATGAAAAATTCACTTTTATTTTGGGAAAAAAAAAAAGTTAATTTTTTATACTAACAGAACAAGATTAAAGGTAAATTTCTTAAACATTATCCAGAAAAATAACAAGAGTTATCGACTCTGCTTCTGGCACTGATATACACAAAGGCCCAAGCCACGCCTATTCTGCAGGTGCAGCCTCGGTGCTCTCCTGCTCAGGGGCAGGCTCACTACCAGCTTCTTTTCCTTCTTTGCTCCTTTTTGATTTTTTGTGCTTGTGTCTCCTGTGACTGTCTCCTTCTTCACTTTCATGGCGACGTCTACTGTTACTGAAGAAAACAAAAAAGTGCAGGTTCTGTTTAAAACTGTTTAAGTACACAAGTAGTAACAAAAGTTAACACACTTTGTTTAGATGGGTTTCAAAATAATTAATTCTTTTTCTCACAAACACATTTTGGATAGTGATTAGTTTCTTGTGTGTCTTTTATGCAGACATTATATTTACATTCTAAGCTCATCTTCATCAATACTATCCCAGATTCCCAGTGTCCACATACTTTATTCTGAAAGTCGAATTACAACTTAGAAACTGAAGTGCTAAGCCAGAATGGAATAGCTGACAGGTATTAAAATTTGAATTATCTTGAGAATACAAGGCCCCTAAATTTGCTTAAATTGAACATTCCTTTGCTTAATAATAAGAAAAAAGACTGATTCATATGCCAAAATTCCTATTCCCCCAATGAGATAATGTAATATATCAACATATTTTTCTATTCCATGCTAATTTTGGTTTATCAGTATTAATTATAGTCCCATTAGTTACATTTAAGAATCTTTGCTGAAGCCTCATATTTCAACCAACTATGTTATTTTAAGGAACTCTGGTGGTGTAGTGGTTAAGGCATTTGGCTGCTAACCAAAAGGTCAGTGGTTCAAATCTACCAGCCGCTCCATGGAAGAAGATGAGGCAGTCTGCTTCTGGAAAGAGTTATAGACTTGGAAACTCAATGGGGGTCACAATATGAGTTGGAATCAACACAGTGAGTTTGTTTTTTTGGTATGTATTTCAACAGGTTACTCTGAATCTTCCAGTAACAACACATTGTTCTTCTGGTTATTTGGCAGTCTTTTTTTAATCTCATGAAGTCCAATCTTAGTTTCAAAATGAATCATTATTTTACTAAAGAACAAACCTGCGAGATGACTTATGTCTGGTTTCCTCTTTCTCTCTGTGCCGTCGTTCTCTATGCCGTTCTTCTTTCTCTCGGCTTGCTCTATGACGCTCATAACCTCTTTCTGCGTATTCCCTGTACCTGTATCGCTCTTCATCACTGAAATTGGAACAGAAACAAGTTTTCTTAACTACTGAACTGTAAAAAGTAGAAATAAATTTGCTATGCAAAATCTATTCTTAGTGCAGTTCAGAAATTATGAAACATAAACTTCATATAGCAGGCTGTCTTCAGTCCACTTCAGCAAACATTTGAGTGCAAAGAGTATTTACAATATGGCTACTGGCCGAGTGAAACAAACCTAAGTTTTAATCCTGACTCTGCCAATTACTAGCTATGGGATTAAGCACAAGTTATTTAACTTCTCAGTATGTTCTCTCCAGACAAAAGGTGTGGATAATGGCTTCTATCTCAAGATGTATTATTTGAGGATTCAATTACTATTGAATTGTCTAGAGTACAGTGACACCAGCAGACTGTCTAGTGACCAGAAACATAGAGCACAGAGCTGCTGTTTTTATTCCTGAATCATAACCAATAATGTGTCAAGTGCTGAGGAAGGCTCTAGGGACAGGAAAAATAAGTATGACATAGCCCCTGCCTTTAACATAGTATCAAATGGGAGACCAACCTTCAAACAATTAAGTTTCTGTGAAATGCAAAATCAAAGTAAGTATAAATACATAAGGAACAGAGAGGGGACTTACTAAACTTTGAAATAGCTTTCATGATTGAAAGATGAAAAAATTAAAAGTGAAGAGCTAGTATGAGGATTGAAAAAAATAAAGGTATACCACAATGAAGTAAGAGAAGTATTACTTCAAGGCATATTTGGGGAAGACTTCCATTTGACAAAGAATTATAAGCAGAGGTTTTTAAAGAATAGTTTAGGATTTTATGAATTTTTGTTATTCATAAAGGTTTTAAAACCTTGACAAGATTCACTGTTATTTAATAAAGAACTTGGCCCCGAAATGAAGTGATAAAAAATAATAAGAAGAAGAATTACCATTTATTAAATACTTATTATATGTTAAGGACTGCTCTAAGTACAGACATATTATATCACAAAGGTTACTACTATATATGAAGGGGCTGCTGTATTTCTTATAAAAATCTAAACTTTCTTATATATTCTGATGATAGATTATTTTTTCATTTAAAAGAGAATACATGACACTTGAAAACAATGATTTTAAAACTTTGACATGAATTAATTTACAGAAATTAAAACCATAATATTTTTAAGCTTAAATAAAAATTCCATTTTACTGTATATTATCTAGTGAAAGTAGACATACAAATGGCATTTGGTGTTAGGCCATTTCAGATGACATACTCTCTATTCATTTTTCTGACATCTGAGGATTCATCTGTTTGACTTTTGTTCTAGACTTCTTTCAATACCCAATATATTTAATCCAACAAAATTTGATCTGATTCTCCAATCATAAACAAAGAACAGCAACCATTATCATATTCACCTTCTTTCCCCCACATATAGTTCCCAATCTTTAGAAATATAATCTTGGAATTCTAATACAATTACTGATTCGTTAACCTTAGACCATTACTTTGGTCACTAAAATCAAGAAAGGAAAAAATAATTCAGTCTGTTTGGCAGGGATATAAATGTGAATAATGTTCATGCTCAGGGCTTCAGCTGTATTACAATTTTATGAAGTAAATGCCACAGGTAACATAGAGTTTTACAGAAAATTATTTTGCTCTATTATCTAACAAGTAATGACCAATGACACCACCTGTCTGTCAGTTTGTCCAGAACACTTAATTGTGCTCATGAGAAATCTGTACATAGACCAGGAGGTTGTCATTCAAACAGAACAAGGGGATACTGTAAGGTTTAAAATAAGGAAAGGTTTGTGTCAGGGTTGTATCTTTTCAACACATTTACTCAATCTTTATGCTGAACAAATAATCCGGGAATCATGAGTATATGAAGAGGAACACAACGTCAGGATTGGAGGAAGATTCATTAACAACCTGTGATATGCAGATCACACAACTAACTCTGCTTGTTGATGAAAGATCAAAGACTAGAGTCTTCAGTATTACACCCAACATTAAGAAAACAAAAATCCTCACAACTGAACCAATAAGCAACACATCACAATAAATGAAGACTGAAGTTGTCAGGGATTTCATTTTACTTAAATCCACAATCAACACCCATAAAAGCAGTCATCAAGAAATCAGGTATCCTACTGCACTGGGGAAATTTGCCACTTTGAAGATTAAGGTATGCTTAACCCAAGCCATGAGTGTTGCTATGAACCTACAGGTTACACCACTGGTGTTTAAATCTGAGCAGGGTTAACCATGGTGGACAGGTGTCAGGGGAGCCTCTACACTAAGACAAACTTGGAAGAAGGAGGAAGCCACCCACTTCTCAGAGAACTGGCCAGTGGAAACCTTACAAATAGCAGTGAAGCACTGTGCAATATAGTTCCAGAAGGTGAGCCCCTCATGTCTGAAGGCACTC